AGTTGAAAGATAACGAAGATCATGGAAACCACTATGGTCTAGATGTTTGTGTCTCTTCAATATTCACTTGTTGAAATCCTACCCCAGATGAAGAATCAGGAAGTGAGGCCTTAGAGAGGAGATGAGGTCAGCAGGGCAGAACCCTCATGAATGGGATTAGTGCCCTTACAAAAGACTCCAGAGAGCTCTGGTGCCTCCTTTCATTGTGTGAAGATGCAGGATGAAGACTACTTGAATGGACTAAGATAGAAACAAAAGACAAGGTAAAGGCAGCAAATATCCCTCCTCCCCCCMAAAATTCCAAATGTTTTCTTTGATATAAGGAGGCTGATTCATAGTGGGGTAAGGATCAGGAGCGTGGAAGGAATAGAGGAACTCTAGATAGGGCAGAGGGGGTGGAGGGGAAGGGAGGGGGTATGGGATTATTAATGATGTGGAATGTGATGATCATTATTATCCAAAGTACAGGTATGAAGACATGAATTGGTGTGAATATACTCTGTATACAACCAGAGATATGAAAAATTGTGCTCTGTATGTGTAATAAGAATTGTAATGCATTCCGCTGTCATATAAAAGAAAAAAAAWTTTTAAAGGCAGCAAATAGTTTCTTCTCCAAATATTAATATCAAATCTCTTTTAAGAACAAATTCAATATAATATGAATTGTGATGTGACATAAAAGTTCTGAAGCACATGATAATATTGAGTATTGCTTAGGAATAAGTTGTAGAAGAACCAATTTATCTAGGTATAATTCATTTGGAGAAAAATCTATTTTTATTTTCCCTATAAATGATTTTAATTTGAGGTCTCTGTCTACATTTCACTAATACTGGAAGGCTAATGCACCTCAAAACTCTGTAACTGTGTGCTTGCCAGTTCTACTTGTAAGACTGTAGCCTTCTAATATCACAAGGGTCCTGAATAATCAAACAATAAGTGTTCATTTGAGTCAGTGAAATGGACATTTATTTTGCAAATATGGTATAGGATTTATACATGCAAAATAAATATATTTATTTCTTAGATCAAGACTTATATTTCGACATTTCTAAGAGCTTACCATTAATATTCAATTTAAATACAGTTCTTTTTGCACATAGAAGTTGAAACAATAGGGTTAATTAAAAATGGAAGAAAAAGAGACCACCTAAGATAGCATGATCTTAGATCTAAATTTCAGGGAAAAGTCATTGTACCTGTTGTCTCATGAATAGTGAAAATTTGAAAGTAAAATCTATTTATTTATTCCTGAGACAATAAGGGACACACAAAAAAACTGAAAACCCTTAAACATGAAAAACAGTGACTTTATTTCTTTACAGACCCAATTCTGTGAATGTGCTAAGGCATATGAAAGTTATATCAGAATGATGCTTTATTAGAAAGAAATATAGTAGCTTTGAGAAAGAATAAGAATGATAGGAGACAAAAGAACGTTTAGAGACAGAGCAATTTCATAAAACCTTTTGTAACAGTCCCTTTTGGTTATTTGAGTAAACTTCCTTTTGCCTTTTCAGCACTTACTTCTTTCATTTCAATCCTTTCCACTTCTATATTTACCTTCCCCAACACTCCCAACCCCTGTCCCATTATACTTAGGTCATGAACACGGCAAATTCAAGATACAGTAAGAAGGTGTGCTGGAAATACAGTGGTCAACAAAAAACACAAACTTCCTGCCCTCAGGGAGCTTACATTCTAGTAGGAAAAGTTGACATTAAATATAATTGCAARGGCAAATATGTAATTACTATTATGATTGCTGTGCAGGAATAGGATAGACCTCTAATCAAAGCACCAATACTTAATTAAGTGTTTAATATACTCTTGAATTATTAAACACCTATTATGGCTGAATCTACATATATAAATAAATTCTTGATTTAGTCATTTATTTTTCTCAGACAACTGTTAAAGTAAAATATAAATAAATGAATAAATATTGAAATAAGCCACTAAATATACAAAAAGAAAAAACACAAGAAATTTCAAAGCAAAGAGACAAACATAAATTCTAAGTCGAAAGCAGGAAAAAGATAACATTATCAGTGATCCTAATAATAATAATACTGACAAATTTCAATAAAGACTTTTTAAGCAAAATTTCATCAAGACTATTTGGAATCCATTTACCCAAAATCAACAATAGTAAAGTTGACTTTGGATAATGTGTCTTCAGCTCTTCCAAAGAAAGTTATAATTCATTGAAATGAAATTTATGCTTAATCAAATGCAGGTAAAGGTGACATTGCCTTATTTAGAAATCATGAAAAACAATCCAAATTATAGACTCTGAAGTTTGAAACAAAATAACCAACTGAAAATAATGGGCAACATGGCCCAAGRGAGAAAGCCTGTGTGTCCTTCAGTGTGATTCTGCTACCACATAGCAATGATCTCCAGTGTATCCAACTGTCTCACATGTTTGTGTTATGTACAGATGATAATATATTTTGTAGTTTTCAAACCCTGAGACATAAGAAATATGTCTACATAATGTCCACACCAACTCTGTAAGTGAACCTCACAGAATGATACCAGTGCTAACCTCAGGAGAAAGGAATAGATAGGATGATGAAGGCTATCAACAGGATTGTTCTTTCTCATGTGTTACATCATTTTACTAAATGAATTGTATTCATAGATCTCTGAGCATTTGAAAATTTAGAAAATATTAAGAATTCATGCAGAATTCAAAATGTGAACACATTTCACTTCTGGATTCACAAAGAAGACATTAGTCCACAAAGGTTATTTCCACCTCACTGTATTCACTGCTCCAAAGAGAAGAATGGTGTGGAGGAAAAAAATGATCCAGGATTACATTGTGTTGTAAAGATTTGGGAAAAAAAAGAGTTTATAACACAAATCAGTTATTCCTACATTGGCCAGGTTTAACATCTATTTTATGCATAACCTGACATAGAAAGCTAAAATGTGCCCTACCAWCAGGTGAGTTATTTAGCCACAAGAGACTCTAATTCATGTGTACCTTCTCTGAAATCCTACCATACTTTGTAATACTCTCAGAACACTTCCATTCTGTTATTTATTCCAACTTGCCCACATTTTCATTTCCCTGTCATATTGATACTCCTTGAATGTGCTGCCATGTCATAGTCCTGATTGTATTTTGCTGTAGAATATAAATTTGTTAATTTGCAATTAAAACTGACTAATAATGATCCTCATTTTTAATATATATATACACACAGATATATCTAATTAATCAACATGAAATAGTAACCACTCAGTCCATCTTAAAATCTTCTTTTCCCATTTGACATCAAAAAGCATCTGGTACCATTAATAATAGAAGAATGCAATGAAAAAAATCAAATTCTTGTCCTCTGTAGCTTTGTGCTGATTGAGGGACAAAATTTGAGGAAAACAGGTAAAATGAAAATATAATGTTTTCTACACCTGCCAACAGAAAACATTTAAGACTAACAGTAAAACTGAATGAAGTGACACTCAACGTTAATTACACCAAATATCAGCTAAACATAAACATGAACTATTCCATATGTAGAATTAAACGCTTATAATTGGAAAATTATTTTGAGTTACTTTTTCACAGAATAATGAATGTATTAGTGTGTATACCTAGAAATTTTGTATGTATACACACATTCATACAAACATATACTTGCACGTATACAAATATACTTTCCTAAGCCAGCAAAACAAAATATATGCCATCCCGAGCCCATGTAATAACATGATTAGAACTACCACTTAAGAGTAAGCAAAGGAGAATTCAACCTYAAATAACAGTATTTAGGAAGTACCCCAAATAGTACACACAATCTTTAAAAAGGAATGACACATGCTGCCATTTGCATAGTTGCTAGACTTGAAATGAGATTAAACTATATCATTGGAAATGGTTGACCAAAACAGAAACTGCAACAGAATACGTTACTGACTCAAAACCTCCTAACAGCATTTGTTTCTAAAGCTCTATTTTACACATTTAAAACTTTGATCGAATTTCTTACTTATTGCTTGGCTCATGTTCAGATGCTTTTTCAAGCAGAAAAGTTTCCCTGCTAGACGACACAAATGTGAAAGTGTAGAACTGTGAGCTTGGGTCCCGATTCACCGTATTAACAATTTGGAGCATAAAAAAAGATTCATGGAATTCAAGGAAAAGATACATTCCTGTATTAAAATAATGATAATAATGTTTTTAAACTAGAGTCTAAGGACATGTTCACTAACACACGTTAAGAATAGTAAAAAGGCTATGCTATGCATTGGCTACAGCTGCATGTCACCTACTTCATTTTCATGACAATACTAAACACAATGCAGATGGTTCCAAATGGCAAATTAAACATGCTTCTGAGTTTTGTACCAATGCCAAAATGTACACATGCCTGACTTACCAAATGATGTAGGAATATATTGCTGGTTGATAATGTCCTTAAAGCTMGTATTCATAAAGATAGAATGTGCTTGTTTCAAGTCTCTGTCTCTTTCACAATATTTCATTTTTAGATCACCATGTGATTAATGTGTACATATGACATTTAGCAAACAACAGGGTGATGAGCCTACTGCATACCATTTTGGTGCTGCACATGCTTAGACTTACATCTCAATACAGAATGGCTAGGGCAGGTGTGTTCCACCAATGTTTGAGGATGATTTATTTATGGTCACTGTACTCATCACWTAACTACCATTAAATGGCACTGTCGAAACCGACATCCAAACTTGGAGCTAATTTCTAAATATACTAATTATATAAGCAGCTGACATGGAACAAAAAAAAAATCACTCTAAAAAGCAAAAGGGAAGAGGATGAAGGAGAGTGAAACAGAAAACATATGATGAATTTATCTTACCTTAAATTCACAAATATACATTAACACACATACCTACCTCCTAGTGCCCATTACCAATGCCATAAGGTTTACATACATTTGCATAATTTAGACACTGTAATTCATAAGATAATATTAGAAAGAAATAAAATAATGTAATACCTTTACTTTTACCTATGCATTTGATGAAATGGGTCCATGAAGAAAGGTTTTCCAGACAAATAGAATAAAGAGGAGAAAAACAACAATAAGAATTATGAATATATGTAAATGTACTGCTCTCTGAAAACTAAACAATACAAGACAAGAAAGTATAAACAAGGTTTTGAAGATAAATGGCTATGCAATCAATACATTCTGAGACATGTGTCCCTTTTTAAAGGCAAGTACATGCAAGGAATCAGATGGCCCATGCTCATTTTAAAAGACTGCACAAAAGAAAGATAGGCAATGTAGGTAGTGGGAAAATTATTGACTCCATGTCACAATACACTCAGCATTCTAGAAGCCAGAAGCCAGAGATGTCTATATGTCCCCAACTGCCATGCATGGATGAAAAATGGACTCTTTTTGATGTTGTTGGTTAAACTGAGAATCTTCTTTCAGATATTAATTTATGATGGTTCTTGTTTTTTGTTTTGTTTTGTTTGTTTTACTATAACCACCCTTAACTGCATATGCTGATAAATGTACAGAAATCTTCAACCACAATTTCTTAATGTCTCATTTATTTGCAGGTATTATAGTGCAAGAAATGAAGGAAAATAAAAGTCATAGGAGCAAACCAAAACAAAATCAAACCAACAAATAAAGGGGAGGAATACACATAGGAAAAAAAAAGGTGAACAAAAGTTATGTTTTTAATTTGCAGCCAGATAATTTGCAAGCATTTGCCCAAACTTTGCAGTGATGGTTTGAAAGCAGCTACAGAACAATAAAACACTGAAAGCAGAGTGGAAAAGGAACAGAGCCCATACCTTGGTCGCCCATCATCAGGTGCGCCAGACCTTGAAGGGAAACAAGAGCAAAGTCAGCAATAAACAAGGGAGCATGGGAAGGCAGGGTTGTCACAGTGACAAAAATGTTCAGTGACAGACATCTTGTTTCCTATGAGACATGTCTGTATCACAGAGGCAAATCAAAAAGCATTCTTTCAACCCCTGGTTGGAATGCTTTGGGGGCAAAGAGTTCTAGAACTGCAATTTAAACACTGGCATATGCTGCACTGTGTATATTTTCTATATATCAGTTGGAACAATCCAAAGTATGAGAGAACGACTCAAAATCCAACCAATCCCTTAAATATTACATCTGCCCTTCATGCCCTTTTGTTGAGATTGTTTTGAATACCGCCCTCAGAGGGCTTGTCATTCTTCAATGATAAAATCACATTTTTAAAAAACCCAAAGGACTACCTGAAACATGGGCTGGGTCTGATCTTTTTCCCCTCATCAAAAAAATGAGCAGTTTAATAATTAAATGAAAAAACAAAAAAGATCCTTAGTCACATTGAAATGATAATGCAGAAATGTCTCCTTGTCTGACACATTTAGCAATTGACTAGGCTTGTTCAAATACCAAAAAAAAGAAAGAAAAAGAAAAAAAAATTAGACATGCTGTTTTAGAATTTACTATAGAATAATGTTTTTAAGGAAGAATAGATCACCTTTAAATAGAATCCAGTAATTTTCCATGGAGAACAAAATTATTTTGCATTTTCTGAAAGGTTATTAAATGCTGAACTATAAATTAGTGTAAGTATTTAAGACATATATTATGGATATAATTACATCAAGAAACATTCCTAAAAGAATACTGAACTCCCTTTATTTAAATTATTTATTTCCTGCTTGACAGTGAAATTAAGATTGAAGATAACTCCTTTTTCTTTTCAAGAATATTGCAAATGCTCTTTGAAATATTTCTTTCATTAAGACACTACTTTTTAATGAAAGACATAAATCTTAGTTCTTTACTTTAAATTCAAAAATAAAGCTATTTATAATCAATGTATATTTCAAGAATTTTGGAAAATGTTGGAGCAATATAAGATACATACAATAAATTTAACATTTTTATTTTCAATTCCTAGTGCTATCTCAAAAATACTTGAAACTATTTTGAACTATATAACATTATGAATTAATTGCACCAATACTAAATGTAATCTGTAGTTTCATAAAATTTTAGTTATATTCAAACATCCTTCTAGGGAAAATATAATTATAAATTATCTTATAGTCAAAATATAATATGGAAATCATTTAATACATTAGTTTGGTATTCTTTCAACCTCTGGTTGGAATGCACTGGGGGCAAAGAGTTCTAGAACTGCAATTTAAACACTGGCATATGCTGCACTGTATAGTAGCTGTGTTTCTTGAGTGATTTTAACAAAAAATCTTCACACAGAAGATTACAATTTATGATCTGCTGATGATTCATGTTGTATACAGTGAAGAAGAGTGACTGATTTGTCCAGATTCTATAAGTTTTCATTTAACTTTACTTTTAAAACTACTAATCATGTTTCATAATAATGTTTTTATAGATTAAATCCTGGAATTATCTATGATAATTTTAAAGACTCTAACCTTTAGAAAATAAATTTAGAGATTTCTCAGAGTGGTATTTAACAAATCCCCCAAAGTATTCACATTCCCTTGTGAGATTTCCTCTAAGAGGAAAAAATTTCCCCTAAGATTGCCTCTAAGAGGAGCTCAGCCACATTCTCAAAGTCACATTATAAACAGGGATGTTAAAATTAGGATTGAATAAACTTTATTACACCTGTTTATGGCCTACCATGAGAATCTTATCAAGTCTTTGTAGGGAACATGTGTATCTGAGGAGAGGCTTTCATGCTAAGTAGGCTGATTTTAAAGCCCCTTGGAATGCAATTAGATTTAAAGAGGAAAAAAAAAACAAAACCATGGAACATTTTACGAAATGGTTAAAAAGATGCAAAAAGGGTTGAAAAGATATCATTTAGAAATGACTTTCAAACTCGATTCATGTGCACAATATAAATGAGACCAATTTTAAAAGATATCAGGCCTTCAGGGTAATGTCATCTTTATCAAGTGTATTCTCACATGCAATTAAAATTATATGACAAAAAACAGAAGCCAAATGCTGATTCAACACTTAGAAAAGTGTGATGTATGTACAATCTCTTTGAAGCTTAAAAAACAAAACAAATATTGAGCATCAACTATAATTCTGTCCATGAAAGAAACACAAATATGATGTTGAACCCTGCTACTGATCAATTTTGTGTTACCATGAAGAGTTGTTTTTTGGAAACAAAAAGTTGGTAAGTTAATGGCTATTTGTCAGTAAATTTGGATGGGGAGTCTTTTTGTAAGAAATCCWTTCTTCTGTAGAGATGTTCATATTTTTACAGAATGACTATATTTCAAAATATAATAGCAAAATAAGCTAAATACTGTCTTCTAATATGTAAATATTAATTAACTGCTTATGCAAGGACTGTTAATGCTGTGACTATATAAAATGATGTAATGTATGTAAGATAAAACCTTCCCTTTCACAATTCTTTTGCTATACCTAGTTCTTTTTTGTATGCTTATCTTTTGAAGCTTTGGTCAGAAGTACACTGATAATTGATGTTCTTTTAAAATAAAAAATATTGAACTATCTCTCCAGGACTCTACAGGAAAATGCATAAGTTTCTGAAAAATCCTTGATATAGAAAATTTAAGAAAACTTGGATAAAATAGTTTCCACAGACACAGAATATGACAAATATACTTACCAACATTGACATCAGAGTGCTGTGGGCTGTCATTTCCATTGGCCAATGACTTATTTTTAATCTACACTTACGCCTCTTACTTATAGTCAGTATTTTATTCTGTGTTCTGTTTATAAGTCAAAACATTAGAAACAAAACAATGGACTTGAAATGATACAATGCTAAACATTTCCAACAGAAAAGAAGAAATCATTTTGATCAAGATTAAAAAATGAAGAAAGGGTCATGCACTGTGTTTTGAAACTGCAAAGAAATGCTTTCTCTTCTAAAATAAAAAGAAGTAGCACTGTATCATTTTTCCATATAGAACACTGCAGTAAGCATCCTCAGGTTCATGTGGGATGCTGAAATCCATCAAAGGTTGGACTCAAGACTGAGGGTGTTCCGTATTCTCGGGGCTGATGGGCATGGGAGTGTGTGTGTGTGTTCTATATGAAAAGTGATACATAACCCAGACACCAACCAACGTTCAGAAGGAAGTTCAACTTACCGTGGACATTCGAGGCATACTCTATTAATACTAAGAAATAAAAGGCAAATGAGAGTTGGAAAATAAGGTAGAAAGCACCCACCTTCCACATTGTTGTCTTCTGAAAGCACATGACAAGGAGGAGAGAAAAGGAAAAACATTGATTAAGCAGCATGCAGACTGGACCTTGCCTTTGCATGTCTTCCTCATGCAAGGCACCAAACACATCATGCAAGTGCTCCATCACTACCATTCCAGGGGGAAACAAAGTCACAGGGGAGCGGGTTCCCTCCCACTGGCAGCATTTAAAGGTTGTGAGACAAGATTTCAGGATTACTGCCATGTCCTGAACAAAGGGTTTTTTTTAAAAGCATTTCACTGCCCAGTGTAAAGCACGCATTACGATTATTACATGTCGCTGGCAGGGATATTCTAAACAATTATTTTTAAAAGCTTTTTTATATTTTAGCAATTCTAAAAGGTCCTATTTCTATCTATTGATTGGGACCTGGATAAAAGAAAAAGTCCACTGGAAATTTCACCTGAAGTTACTCCAGTTCTACTAGATATATTATCCTTTAGGCACTGCTGCCTTCTAGTATTTCTAGTAACTCAACTGACTTTCTTAAAACAATACAATGCAAATGTATGCAACTAAAATGCACAGTTTATTATTAGAGCATAGTCATTTTATTGCAAAGGATGGCAGTTTACTATAATTTATTAAAATGTTAACTTTCTAAGTTGCTGAGTAAAACAATGACCATTTCAAGGGAAGCTCATGAGGAAGCTATCCATCAGGCAAAGCTGATCAAGTTTAATTGCTCTGTAATTCTATTTAGGATGAGATTATCAATGTAGTTAAACTAAAACAAAATTTGGCAAACTCTTCCCTTGTATTTCCATATATCTATATAATAGATATATAGTATATGTATTCATATTTCTATGTGTATATATGTGGGTATATTTACAAACACATATAAAAGCAGATTATGTGTATGTTTCCTACACATAATCCATATATAAGTACATGGGGTTTCAACTGTTACTAGTACCTACTAGACAATTCAAGTCTTTTTAAAACTCAGACTGGCAATTGTACTAGACATGGAAGGGGCAGCTGTCTTAGGGGTATAGGACAAGAGCAAGGTTTCAGTACTTATCAAAAAAGTTTCAATAGTTAATTATACACACATGGACATTCTAGTCTCATCATGATATTTTGCTTAATTGACTGTATTTTCTAAAGTGGTATTTGAGCAACAGTGTTTCTAATAATAAAACAACAAAAAGTATAGAAATGTGAGAGTAAAAAGTATAAATACATCATTTCATTGCATTCAATGAATAACTTTGTTAAAGGGCACTGTTATGAATGAATTAAAAATCATCAATTTTGTCTAAACTATAGTATCAGGAAACCAAAGTATCAACACAGACACATTTATTGATGTAGTGTTAGTTTACGATAGAGACTTGGTAACTAATGTGGACATAATGTCTTTACACACTAATTGGTTTTCCAGAATTTACTTGAAAGAAATCGCAAAAAAAGTGATTTGAATATTTGGTAATATTCACTTCTAATTTGTTTTTGGCTTCCAGTCTCTCAAATAAGGAATTAGACTAAAGTTGTTACTTTTCAATGGCAACTTTAACGTAAAATAAGCATAAATATTAACAATTCATTTTATCAATTTATATTGGAAATAATACAATTTCAATGTTTAAGATACAGTTTAGTTTCCCATTAACTGCCCTTTAAAATTATATTTCTTCTTTAAGATGCTTTTAAAAAGATTATTTAAAATGTATAGTAAAATAATAAAATTTGGCAATAAAATCTGGAAATTCTCAGGAGAATGTAGGGATAAGAGAGTCTGTCCAATTCTATTACATCATTTAGTTTCTGTAAGCAAAAAGTTGGCAAATACCATTGTGGGTAGCAAAGTCACAATAGGGGTTTGGCAAAGAACTGCATAAAACTCTAATAGAAGAAAAATAAAAATTGAAAAACAAAACAGGTCCAGACAGCACCCATTTTAGAGATGTGCTAAATAGGATATTAGAAGAGAAACTATACTCATCAAGTCAAGGTCATTGATAGTCCCTGAAGAGAGATAACTAAGGCACAGGCCCACAGGTGGTGCTATTGATCCTGCCCTGCCCACCAGCTTCCCTTGACTTGTAATTCAGAAAAAGAGACTTAATTAGTAGGACTTCCTGCATGTAAATCCAAGTCATGYCAGATGTGCGAAGATCCTGACTTGACCACGTTCAGAAAAATGGTCTATCTGGGAAGATTTAGATTTTTTTTAATCAAAATATTAGAGTAAAAGGAAGGAGGAGGAGGAGAAGAAGAAGAAGAAAAGAAACCTGGCTTGGAACTGACTTTTCTTGAGTTCCCATATATTTTCCTACTCAGTTGCAGGATTAAAAACAATTCTTTCCTCATTTAATTCTATTCTACCCATTTTGGTCTCCATTTTTTGGCTTTAGATTTAAAACTCGATAACCCTAGCACTATTTCAGAATTTGGACACCATCATAACTGGCCCTAGTAACATTTATAGCCACTCCCCAGGAATAATTCTTTCTCTCCTTCCTTCTAGTTTGTTTTTAGACTAAACAATGAATAACAAGTTAGTAGAGAATAGTTCTTCTCATCACATCCACTTCTGCTTGTGTTTGTACATTGTTATGCAACCAAATGCTATTTTGGTTTTGAACAGCAAGAGAGAGGCGCTGAATTCTGGCATGCTGGGGGATAAGGGGAAAGCAATATATTTTGGTTTAATGTAAGGTAGAAAGCGATCCGTCTGGCCTTACCTGTGAACAATGTCAAGTTAGGAAAAAAAAATCTCTTTATTTTCAGAAAACCCTGGCTTCTTAATTCTGCTCACCTAGTCCTCGGTGAGCACATGATTGGTGGGTCCCTTAGTAATCAACTAAACTATGAGAACCTATAGAGAGCATACCCTTGTTTTCTTTTTATTATAAAATTAATGACTCCAAAGCTCATGGGGAAAAAAAATCTACTTTAAGTTTTATTTTTCTTTTATATAAAATATGCTTCCATCACAAAGATGGGAAATAGACACTAGATTATCAGTCACGTTCTATAGAATGGCTTTGTGCTGACATCAAAGAGAGCAGCACACAGGCACATGGTTAAATTGTTATCTTTAAATTACTGCAAAACTGTATCTACATAACAAATTTTTTTCTCTTTTCACCCGCCTCTCAGCTTATAAAAACACAAGACAGTAATTTAAGTTTATCATGACAGTGTTCTTGGCACATAATCTTAATTATATGCTTCTAGGAAAAGAAAAATGAATAAGAAAACAAATTCACTTGTTTCAATATAAAGAAAAATTTTTAAAAAGTAATAATGAGCAGCGATCAAATTAAAGTCTGAAATAAAATGTCATAAATAACTCTTTTCAATATATTCAGTGTTTATGTTTAGCAATATGAAACCCTTCATCCAAAACATACAGAAATGGTCATCTTATATGCTATGGCCAACATTCCCAAGCTGTCCCTCACCAGTTGGGCATTCTTCCCCCCACCCTTTCTTTACCCTCCTGTTTAGCCTATTGACTGTGATAGGCTCCCTTCATTTTGACTCCCTCTCTCCTGCATCAAAACTGCTACCACTGCAGGTGACTTGTCACCAGGATCCCATCTCTCCAAGATGGAATATATAGCAACAAACCTGGTGGTGGAAATAAATAAGGTTTTATGGCCTTTTCCGCATTTCAAACTTGCTAGCTTCTATAGTCTTTTTACGGCCCTCCCATGACTTCTTATCCCTCATTTGGGGGATTAAATGCCAGTGTAGCAGAGTCTGGTTCCCATGGTGGTACAGGATGAAGCTTTGTTTTACTTTATTTTTTTCTTTTAGTGTTAGCAGTGAAAGCCTTTAAAAAAAAAAAAAAAAAACAACTCAGTAGTCTGGGGATGCTTCAAGGACTGGGAAATGGAGGAAATCATTGAGACTGTGGATTTATGCTGCAGTCAGCCAGAGGAAGAGAAACACTGGCCAGAAGCAAGAGGAGGTTCAAACAGAAAATGAAGCATAAAGGTCCATTATGGAGACTTAAGGGAGGAAAGAAACAGCCCTGAGCAGGAATTTGGCTAGTTTCAAAAATGATTTTTAACAGACGGCCTCAGTTCCTTGTTCCAAATCCACCTAAATGAGATTCTGAGGCACTCCCCACCAGTAGTAGGGCCTGGGGAGCCAATTGGAGCAGCCAGCTTACTTCTTTCCCTCCTCACTGCTCAGAAGAAGGAGTGGGTAATTCTAAACCAACTGCAGCAGCAGAGATGGTCCTGGCTTCACAACTGGAACTCTAAAAACATTCTTCCCTAGAAATATATTTTTTTTACAGGAATACTTGTGTTACAACTTATTACCGATGATTTCCCAAAAGAAGGGAAACAGAGAGAAAGGGAGGAAAAGAGAGAAAAAAGAAAAAAAAAGGCTGGGGGTGGTGGTGGTGGGGTGATGGTGTTCATGGCTAGAAGAATAAAGGAAGGAAGGCCATCTGGCTTAATATTCAATTTTACAGTTAATGAATCTGATGGAATTTAATAATTATTAATTAGTCAACATATTACAATATACAAGGAATGATTCACATAAACTATAATTCATATTTTCATGAGGGGCTTCTACAAGGATTTTTGTTTCACTTTTAAAGCTTCAGTTCCAGCTAAACCTTGAGAGTTAACACTTCTATATTCATTTCAATAGTTGGACCTAGGGAAAGAGCATCTGCATTTAACAGTGGATGTAAAATGGTGACAAGCTCAGTCTATGATGTGTGTACTCATATCACTGCAGTTTGTTTTTATTGCCTGCTGAAAAATGAATGCTTTCTGATATGGAATTGACAGATAACAATGAGCSGAGTGCCATATATTCTCCCAAATGAGTTCAATCACCGCTACACAACTCTCCAAAGAATCCTGGGTCAGGTGAATAGTACTTGACTTTGCAAGAGCTTGTAGTAAGTATATTTTAAAAAGTAGAACAGTGAAGTTCTGGGGTTGGCATTGGCGGGAGGAGAGAGGTAAACTTAAATACATCCCTGCCAACCTGCCCAATCT